ACTGCTATTTATTTATTTATTCATTCAATCTATTTAAATAGTTTTTGTTGATGCAGACGTAATGGCTGCTATAACAACAAATTTCACTTTGGGGATTAATACTGCAGACAAAAACAGGGCAAATCACTTGTAATCACATTATTGGCGCCGTTTCAGTCCGCAGACCTTCACCACATTTGGGGATTAATAAAGTAATCTATCAAATCTATCCATTTATCTAATACTCAGCCACAGCAAGCTGTAGATTTAGTTGTTTGTGCTACAGCAGCTTCAGGCCTCCTGTTACCGTACATACTGTAAAAAGTTATTATAATCAGCTCTGCACCCTGAGGAGCAGTGTTTATGTCCTTAGAAAGCAGGAGTGCTGGTATCAGACTGATACTCAAAACTGGCAGATACCTCGAGCTGAGGTACCAAAATCTGTATTTGGAGGAAAGAGCTGGATTTGTGCATCCCCAAACAATAAGTCTTTGAGAAAACAGACAAAATGTCTTGGCAGTTACATAATCCCATAGATCCCTAATGTGACATGTCTAACCTCCTCCAACAAATTGGAGTAGCAATGATTCTGTGGTAGCAATAAGAGCTGCCATACACAATAATAACCTCACCGTAATAATCACTGTGTCTCTTGCTGTAAGGCATTGAAAATATGAACCTTAAATGGCCTGATGTGGTGAGCTGCCCGGTTTCCTCTGACCTTGTTATTTCAATCCATCTTTTTTTCCAGAAGCGTCAGAACAGTGAGTCATGAAATAATCATGAAGTGGACACTCATCAGTTAGCAATAATACTGGGGAAAATTTGAAAATACACTTCATACCAGTGACTCAACCAACAGATCCCTCAGTGGTGTACGTGTGATTTTATGACTCAATATGAAAGCCTTCAATTAGGGGCATATGGAGACCTGTCAGTAGATAACAAAGCCAGCAGAGAGCAAGAAGGAATGTCAAGAGGGCAAACAAGGACCCATCTGGAGCCTTATCCACTTAGATGTGACTGAATAAGCGAGTCAAGGAGGACGCCATATCTGCAGACAATAATCGGGCAGGTGTTTAAGGACTGAATACTGTCGATGCATGATGTCATGTATTCCCTCCATGCAGGGATACGAATAGAAAAACAGCCTCACTCTGTGTGCGCGTCACTCACTCTCAGTCACACAGAGAAAAAGCATTCACATCAATGGTCCCTAAGGTTCAAGCAGGTGAGCATTAAACAGACAAAGAAAACCTGCACTGTCTCTAATGTGTGGTGAATAATGTGCTAAAAAAAGCAGCGACAGGCAGAGTGTGTGAATGCTTTGAGCTCCGTGTGTGTGTGTATGTGTACAACTGTGGTTAAAATTAGGAATTAGAGCAGCGTAGAAAGGAACGTGTCTGCATTCAGTGTGGGTCACTGCTCAGTGTGCAGCCTGCCTCCCCGTTTCCCCCTGAGGCTGCTATAAAAGAATTTCTGATGTGAATGTAGAGAGCGAGGGAGAGGCAGAGAGGACAAAAAGAATGCTATATCACTGTGGTGTTCAGCGTCAGTGGGTGTTATTTTATACTGAACAATTTCCACAAATTTTATTCAAAACATATAGAGGGGCGTGCATACTCGTGAGCAGGGGAGGGGTGAAAGTGCTGGGGAGCGAGAAAGTCAAGTAAACTTATAACAACCAAGACCTAATGCTGAATGTGATTAAGCTAAATTTGTTGCAGTTTGTTCTACAGAAGGGAAGATTTGTGATTCTTTCATCTTATATGGCTCCTTTAGGTTGATGGGTTCTGTGGACCGACTTGGACAAAAGGAGGAAAGACAAGACAAGGGCAGGACTGTCCTGTGAAACAAAACTACTGTGAACATACAGTACAGTACAGAGGGGCGAGAGAAAGATACAAAGTATAGAAAGAAAATAGATAACTGTATATCGTTTGACAGGCTCATCCTCATTTATGAGGCTCCATCTACAAACGCACCTTTACTGACTCCAACTTATGTATAGTCAGAAGAAGTCTGCCCAAGAATCTCAAACCCTTTTCTGGCCCATCTGGGATTAAAATACCATTAACACCAGTAGATGTACATCGTACTGTAGCTGAGCTTTAAAAAAAAAATGCTAAAAATCAACTTCCAAAACGACACATAACCAGTGAGGTGAAACCAAGATGTGTGGAACATGGCTCTCTCTAGTGACTGCATTCTGAGGATGATAACCATGGATTACCTTGTGCATGATGCAAATGTTAAGTTTAATTTTGAATCTATTTATCATAGCCATATACCATAACATAGCAAATGGTGCTGCACAACTCCCAGACTTCACTGGAGTACAAATATTTTAGATCAAACTAAACCTGTTGGACATAAATAAGAAACTCTGCATTAGTATAATCCTCCACCAGACAGCAGACACACAACATTTAACAACTTGCTGCAGTGTTCAACAACACAACTGCCACAGAAAGCTGTGTTTCCTTGGTAGGCAAGGAAGTGTAGATAGTTTTCTAATTTGTTTGGCACTTACTAAATAGGACTGGATGTTGTGAATTAAACCCCTTGAAAACTGACAAAAATTCAGAAGAATAAAAATGTTGCATATGAATCAATCAATTTCAAGGCTCAAATGGTCCTTGAAAAGTATTTGTGGAACTTAAAAAATATTATGCCTTAAAAATTTGAAAACTGGATTTATGGTATTAAATTGCTGAAAATTCCTTGAAACCCATTTGCTAGTCATTGTAGAAACTGGTCGCCCTTCAAGTAACAACACACAGACACAAAATGACATTTAGGCTACAAGTTCCTCATTTTATCATTCAAGGATCTCTTGATTTCATCATTATCATTTAAAGGATATTCCCCATGGAGAGATTACAGCAGACGCCGATTTGCCTCTGCTCACGGTGAGTGTCAGCGTGTCAGTCCTGGATCCGCTTATTCATTTGTGCCATAGACCATCATGTTGTTCAAAAATGACTAAAAACACACCACAAAAACACAACGCTGCACTGGGTGACATATTTCTTCATTAGCAAACCCCTGAGCTGAGCATGAGGAGCTAGTGGAATGTAAACAAAGCAGAGAGCTAATGCAAGGTCTCACTCATGTGCAGCTGACTCGTGCTGACTTCAGGAAATTATGGCTGCTTGAAGCCTTTAGAGCAACACAGTGGGGTCTGGGGTTTCGTTATGAAAAACCATGTCACCCAGTATAGCTGTGTGTTTTTCTGGTGTGTTTTAAATCATTTTTGAACAACAACGGAGATCTGTCACACAGAATAACAAGGTAGGACTGACAGCTGACAGACATTAACCGTGAGTAGAGGCAATTCACTGTTGGTTTTATTATCTGTATGGAGATTGCTGAAATTATTATTAATATAGAAAAAGACTGGCCTTATCCTTTAACAAAAATACAAACATCATCCTGACCCCACCATAATTCTACCACCACTGAAACGTTCCTTGACATCAAATATTTTGACATAGCCTTTAGCTAATTGGTCACTATCTGTGCACAGCTTCTGGCACATATCTGCTCAAACAAATTAACAAGTGGAGGCACATCTGTGCCACAGTATAATCATCCGATTTCTGGGATACATTCCGCTCCATTTGTCTCACGTGGCACAGCTGTCTTAAATCTGTGCACTGCCAAATCCTCTCCAGGCAGCATGTGGCTCACAAACGGGGAAGGGTGAAGAGAATGTTGGAGGGGGAAGCGCAAAGGGAAAAGCTTGAGACAGTGTGGAGGGGACACAGAAGCAGCACAGCAAAAGGCCTTCAGGGGACAGAAGTGGCCTTGGCAACGTTCAGAGGGGGATCACACTAAAGATAACCCCTTAGTGTGACGCAATGGGGCAGTTTGGGAGCTCCTACAGAGCAGAGGTTTCTGAGCA